TTTTTTTTTTTTTATAGCAGCACGAATTATTATTATAGTTATTATTAAATAATACGCATATGTATAAAATAGATGTTAGTTGCTTTTAAGCCGAACACTCGAATGGATGTCCCAGAAATAATGAAAATTAATATCAAAATCAAAATTAATTATAAAACCCTTATCTCCTCGGCAAGGTGGATTTAATTAACACCGTGATATGGGGTTTTGTTTTGGACGATACAAAATTTGACCAAATTAAAAAGAAAAATGCAACATTACGTTATGGACAAATTCGAAATAAAACAAATCAACAAAAAAAGATATCAGAAAATTTTCCCCATTGGTATATTTCTTTCTTTTTTTTTTTTTCTTTCTTCCTTTCTTTCTTTCTTTTCTCCTCGTCCAATTTCTACGGGGCTTCCTTTCGTGGTATGCAAATAACGAATTGAAAAAAAACAAAACACCAAAAATAAAATAAGCAAGCGTACGAAATGCTAATAGAAAAAGTTTAGTGATTTAGAAACAAATTACGAGGAATATTTTCAACGTATGAACGTATTAAAGTATCGATTTCACAACGATGGTGATCTGGTTACGTGTATGGTGGTGTCTCGATTCGTTTCATTAATCGTTGAATATTTTAAAGAATTTCCATTGGAAAAATTCTTTTGTCAAAAATTCTTATCTCAAATTCTTTCCTCGATGATATCGATACTTTTCTCCCATATTAAATATTTCTCTTAATTATTGTTAATCGTTAAACAATTGGATTTTACGTATAGTTTGCAACGATTAGAATATCACGCGACGATAATCGTAATCAATCAACGTTTAAATTCGTTCATTAATTTTCTATAATGAACGATTAAAATACTTTTATTTAAACTAATATTTATTTACAATATTTTTTTTTATTCTTCTTATTTGAAATCGTCAACGTGATAATATATAAAAAAAAAACAAAATAATATATTTTTTGATTTAACTACGAAATAAAAGAAAAATTATTATTATTATTCTTTTTGAGTTTCAATGAATAACCAAAAAAATGTTGTTATATATACGAAACGGATATTAGATAGGAAAATGATATTTGATGGGGAAGATGATCTGACATATATATGGGTGTTTCGTTTCGTAGGTACGATATGACGACGAGGACGAGGACGAGGGTCCTCAACCGGATCCTGCACTCGAACAAGGTGCACCGATCCCGGTCCGGTTGCACAATGTATTTCCACCCGAGTTGGCCTCCACACCTCTCGAGGATATCGATACCTTCTATCAAAATCAAAGGGTAACGATCAATACTTTATCTTTCTTCCCCCTCCCCCCTCTTTTCTTTTCATTTTTTTTTATCTATTCAAAAATATTCAACTCTTCAAAATTACACTGTACGGTTCGTGCATTTTTTTCTTGATATGCAATATGCATCGTTTGATCTTAATTTGTTATTGTTTTTATTTGTGAATCATGCCACCATCAATACTTTATCTTTCTTCCCCCTCCCCCCTTTTCTTTTTATTTTTTTATTTTATCCATTCAAAAATATTCAACTGTTCAAAATTACACTGTACGGTTTGTGCATTTTATTTTTATTTTCTTTTTTTTCTTGATATAAAGTGCATCGTTTGATCTTAATTTGTTATTGTTTTTATTTTTGAATCATGCCACCATCAATACTTTATCTTTCTTCCCCCTGCCCCCTTTTTTCTTTTCATTTTTTATTTTATCCATTCAAAAATATTCAACTGTTCAAAATTATATTGTACGATTCGTGTGTTTTTTTCTTGAATATAATATGCATCGCGTTTGATTTTAATTTGTTGTTGTTATTGTTGTTATTATTTTTGAATGATGCCACCAGACCTTCGTCGTCGTCAGCAAGGGAAAGGATATATTTAGGTTCTCAGCTACCGACGCGATGTGGATTCTCGATCCATTCAACCCAATACGACGCGTGGCTATCTACATTCTGGTTCACCCACTCTTCTCCTTGTTCATCATCACTACGATATTGGTTAATTGCATACTCATGATCATGCCAACCACGCCTACCATCGAGTCCACCGAGTAAGTATTACCAACTTTTTTTCATTTCATTTCTTATCTTTTTTTTATTTCTTTTCAATCACCTTTTCTCACTTCTTTTTTTTTGTTATTTACTTAGGAACCTAATTTTCATCGATTTTTCTCTACTGTTAACATACTTCTTGTATTTTTAAATACTTTTTCTATTTCATATTTTTATTCGTCATTTATTTGATATTAACCCCCCACCCCTATCGTAATTTATTATTAAAATAGAAGCACGACCCCCACCCCCACGCTCCCAAACGTCGAAGGAAAAAATCGTACACGTCTCCTCCCCACCCCTCACCCCCACACCGAGATAGTAAATCTTACCTTCGAAGAAAATAATCATTTTTGTTTGGAAAAAAAGAAAAGAAAAGAAAAAGGATGTATAAAAATATTGTAGCACTTCTACAAAAAAGAAAAGACCCCATCTGCGTCGTCGATGGATTCCCCCATACGCACTCACCATAGCGATTAAGTATCTCAATTAAATGTCAAATTAGAATTTAGATCAAAACTCATTATTTTTCATATTACACAATATACTTTTTTCTTGAATCCTTGTTTTAATAATCCTATCAGACACGTTTCTTTAATCTGTGTGATTTGTCTACATTTATTATAATACGTTTTAATAGTTTCCAATCAATGGAACCTAACATTTCGAACACATTGTAGATTATATACTCTGGGATATAGGCTACGATCGATCAAAGATCAATTTATTCTTTTTATTTCTATTAATCTACCTCGTGTATGTGTGTGTGTATTTATTTTATGTTTTATTGCATACTTAAAATACGTATGCATATATATATATATATACGTTATACAGAGTCAGATTATAAAAATGTGTACGTAATTTTTTGTTCGTGCAATGAACAGCTGATATTATAGTTGAACTTTTATTTTGTTTTATAAATAAAAATCCTATATATAAATCATTTATTATATTATTTAAATCAATATGAAGAAAAAATA